ACCATCATGGTAGCTACAAATGGATACTTTGGCCATTTGGGTTGTATTGAGGCACTGTTTCCTATTCTGAACATGGGGAGTATTTAGTTGCCATGTCTAAGTACCAGTTTGCTCTCTCTCTCCTGTGGTGCAACTAGGCAGTCCAGGCGGAAGACAACTAAATGCACCGATTGTGCAGATGCATCAGTCACATTTTGCTCCAAACCCATTAGTGATGATTCCTGCTCTGTAAGACACGAAGGAAAAAGGCGAATCAGTTTCCCAATTTATGGCAGCTCTAAAGAGGCCTTTTGAACCCCGAATCTGATGCTGTGTTAAAACGACACTCTTTGTGACCAGCCAGTCTGTGGTCTATGTATCCAGGCAGTTTAGAAGTGCCTGGGTTTGGAGACTGATCTCATACACCAGAAGGCTGTGGAAAAGGAGCCTTTTATGTAAACTTCTGTAAGAGATTCCCATGTGCTGAGTGCATTTACAAAGGCCATAAGATAACAGCAAAAATTTCAAGCATAAGAGGAAGATTTTTCAGAGGGTACAGGTATCAGTCAGGTGCCCATCTCCCATTGGCTGTTGCCAGAGATGGCATAGAGGGTTATTCTTAAGCAAGTGTGGGGGCAAAAGTTGATATTCTAGCATTGTTATAATGAAAAAGGACACGTTGAACATTCCTGAAAATGAAAAAAATTACTGCAGGAAAGGCTAATACTAGTAAATGAGGTACAAGAAAAAGGGCTTGTACTCCCTGCAGTAGGTCTAGAAAAATTATTAAGAATAACTTGGCAGGAAAATGGATTTGACTTAGCTTCACTGTGTTAGAGCCTTGTCATGGACTTCGAGGCATCTGTTTTTGGAAAGATTATCATTTTAGGATGGAAGCTGCAGAAGGAGCTGCAATATCTCTTGTCTCAGATGCAGTGTGTATTGTAATGCAGTCTGATTTCCCTACCCATGTTGCTGTGGATAGTCACAAGGCAATCGGTAACTACAATCAACAGTAGCGGACAAGCAGGAAGAACTTCAAGAACATGCGCGTAGGTTGCCCTGTTCTTGGTGACTATCCATTCCTGATGAACCAGTTTGATTTGAAAAGAATTAGCCAGAAACTTACAGGACAAAAGGTGAACTTGATTTTTCTACACTGTGGCATATACAAGCTGCTGTTACAAAGGGAGAACCGAAGAGCACAAAAGGTGTCATTGTAAGAAATTCTCTCCCTTGTCTAACTCTGTCCACTCAAGTTTTACTCCTGGGATTCCCCTTTGTCAGTATCTAACACTCCTCATTCATTCCTTCAAAATGTGTTGAAATATTATAAAGATCAAGGCTGTCCTTTTGCATGTACGGCAGGAGTGGCTGTACAGGTCTCAGTGCTTCTGCCTCTTTATCAGCTACTGTGCTCTGCCATTCAGTGTTCTGCACTTTCAGATTAAATGTTAAATTTAAACTTGGAGCCCAGCCTTTGCTAGCCATCCTTTTCATTCCTGGCCAATGTTGGCAAGCACTTTGATTTACCCTTTATTTTTCCATTGACAGCCACCCAGCCCCCTTCCCCACATAGGCATTCTGGACCACATTCTGTTCTCCTCTTCCTGTCACCTCTGCCATTCAGTGTTCTGCACTTTCAGATTAAATGTTAAATTTAAACTTGGAGCCCAGCCTTTGCTAGCCATCCTTTTCATTCCTGGCCAATGTTGGCAAGCACTTTGATTTACCCTTTATTTTTCCATTGACAGCCACCCAGCCCCCTTCCCCACATAGGCATTCTGGACCACATTCTGTTCTCCTCTTCCTGTCACCTCTCTGGCATTATACACCTTCCACCCTTGTCCCGGCAATTTCTTCCTCACATGGCGTAATGATTCAGTATTTTGCTTTAGAGCACAGCACCATGGAGTGTGAGGAAGAGGCACTTAGACGGGTACAATCAAGGAGGAAATGAAGGAGGAAATGCGACCAGCAGGATCCTTCTGTGTAACAATGACAAAGAAGGGAAGCACTGCCCCAAACAGCATCATGCTCCCTTTCCCCTGATCTCTTTCACATTCTTCAGTGTTCCCCATGTGTGACCTCCCGTCTTTCTCCCTGATTTCTTCCTCTCTCTTTTTTCAAGATTTCTTCTGCCCCTCACTGTCCTAATACTCTGATCTCTCTTCTCTTTCCATTATTGATCCTCCCCCCACTCCTTGTACTCAATTTTTCTGATCCTCTCACTTAACATAAAAAAATTACATCAGTCCAGATTTCCATATCTTAGGGGTGAAGTTTTAATGATATTGTCTCTTTAAGGAATCCTTCATTTCTAACACCCATCTCCTCCCCCACCTGAGAACCAATTAAACTCAATGAATTCAAGGAGAGGCTTTTGTGCATCACATGTGCTTGACTAACAAAGCCTTCTCCAGGCTAGAATAAAAGATTCTATTCAGCAGCCAGTTTGTTCTAATTCAAATCACTTCCACTCCAACATCCCCTCCTTCCTTGTTCCTCACTCAGTTCCCAGGCCAAGACTGCCTGCCTGAATGTAGCCCAGCCCTCAGCTTTGCTCGCCACCTTTCATTATGTAAACTTGCTCCTGTGGCAACAATCTGAGAGCAGAGGCCAGGAAGAAACTCTGTGTGTGTAACCCCAGAGGTTGTGATAACGTATACCTGCGGGCAAAAAAAAGGGGTTTTCTGGGTGGTATAGTGACCTACTGCTGTTCAGAAGACCCCACATTCAGCTCCTGTAGGCTGTGGGGAGACTAAAACTGTATCTGCCTTAAGAATTAGCTCAGATTTCAACCAGCTGCAGTTACATGAGTGCAAAATCACTTATATAGACATCCAGGATAAATTCTAAGTGTACGTCTGTTTTCTTTGCTTACACTAGGGTCGCAATGGTGCAGCATGTCAGGTTACATCTACACAGCAACATTATTTCAAAATAACTAGCGTTATTCTGTAATAGCTTAATCCACGTCTACACAGCAGGCAATTATTTCAAAATAGTGTCAAAATACCGTCAAGGTGGAAGACTTCTAATTTTGACTCCTGTAACTCTCATTGTATGAGGAATAAGGGAAGTCGGAGGAAGAGTGTTCTATTTCGAAATACGTGCTTTGTGGATGCTCCATATTTCGAAATAAGCTATTTTGAAATAATCTACACAGTTGACGTAGTGCAATTTGCGTAGCTTATTTCGAGTTAAGCCCTGCAATGTCAGGCTAACTATACCACTGGCTAGAGTCAGAGAGAATTCTCAATGAAGACAAGACATAAGGGAGTTTAAATTTTATTCTGGTCTGCTCAGGATATAAATTGCATGATCAGGAAAGGAGAGGATAATTCCTTTCCTATCCTAACTCTAGAAGATAAAGGCAGAGGTGCTAATGAGGTGATATTCCTGTGATATGAAGTACTTTTCATATGCAGGAGTGGCCTGAGGTGGGCTGTGGCAGCTGGAACCCCAGGCGGAATGCACGATTGGCGCCCCCACCTGCACGGCTGTCAATGGACATGATGTCATCATCAGGCGCCCAGGCCGGTGGCGCTTTAGGCAACTGCCTAGTTTGCCTAGGCTCCTGCCGCTCCTGTTCACATGATATTTAATTTATCTTGTCACAGATTTACAAATGCTACCACAAAATTTTGCAACCACAGATCTAGCTTTGGCCCATCTTATGTAGGAACATAATGCCCCGATCAGAGTTGGTCATCAGTCTCCAGGTGAAGCATTAGCTATTCAGTGTCTGTCTGTCCCTTATTGACCACTGTTACCTAAGCACCGTACAAAGTTCCACATGTTAAGGTGGCAAAAATCTCTTTCCCCCAACTTCCAGATCCCAAGTGAGTTGTATATTTCATTATTAAGGTGTCAAAGCGCAGGCACATTCTTATGGGAGCGAGTTTCAGTGCAGGTGCCAGCAACCATCAGAGCCCTATTTCCAATGCTCATGAGTTTCATGCTAAGCAGTCTCTCTGGCAGCTTGGGCCATTCCCATGAAGAGCTCTGCTCTGAAGATTATGGTCCAAACTTTGAAGCTGTCTTGTAATTAAGTGGGGAACCAATTTTTGGAGCAGAGCATCTGGATGATATGCTGTTAGGCACCTCGGTTGTATGGTAGCGGGGCTGCTGTAACCTAAACTAATTGGAGCTTTTTCAGAATTGGTATTTCCATTCCTATGTACAACACTTTGCAGTGACCTCGCATGGAAGTTACCAAGCAAGGAAATTATATCTCTGCACCCAAATCTGAGTCATACAAGATGTGGTGCAGTCTCCTAACCAGCTTTTGGCAGAAGATTGTGAAGAATCCAGAATGACCCTGGATGTATTGCATGCAAAAGATACCTTACTTCTGAACTCAGATGTTCATTGTACCTTAGTATGGGATGAAAGCAGTTTCTAATGAACTTCATAAGGTGAGTTTAATATTTGGAAAGAAGTTGATCAGTGTTAGAGATGAGTTCAGGGTATGTACAGAAAGATGCAGACTGTGTTACCAGATAAATGCAATCTGTGTACCTGAATAGAGGCTAAGCAGATCAGTGTATTTTTTAAATTGTGTGTCCAACCTTGCTACTGACTACTGAACAAAACTGCAAAGCACGGGTGAAAGGTAGCAATATAAATCAGTTCTATTACATCAGTAAAATCATAGCAGATTTGCATTGCACTTGTCCATTGTTCTGGATATGAACATTTATTTGGTTGTGTTAGATGATGGCCAGAAGCCATCTGTCTCTAAAATAAGTTAATTATGAATCAGATAAACTGATGTAAGACCACTTTATTTTGAATATGCATTGGTTTCATGGGTCTTAAATAATCCACTTTCAAGTTACACCTTCAGTTAATCCAGATATAGTTTTCTGAGAGCCCTGGTGTAGATAAACCCTTAGGCAAGAAGGCAGAATTATTCACCCAGAAAGTCTAACGTAGGGTCAAAAGTGAAGTATCTAGTTGGGGAGAGTATGCTTTGTGGCACTTGCCTTCACACAACTTCTGCTGCTTCAGATCCAGTGGTATAAGAAGTTATGACCTGCCATTCTATGAAACTGATTGGTGATTTGATTCATGGAGATGTAGGAATGAACTTGGAAGAGACCCACATAAGGTATAAAATGGACTAGTAATCTTAATACTAAAGTTACAGGCTAACAAGGCTACCCATCTGAGACTTAATACTAATGATTGTTATATTTTAGGCTCTGGTAACTCTCAAAATGTATTAGCTACTTTCCAAACACAGAGGAAGACAGAATCCCTGTTCTGTGCTTGATGTGGTCAGGTTATTGAGTACTTGGGAATTTCCTGTCTCTTTTGTTCAGGTACTCACTCCAGTGTCATGTTAATCAAAACAAGAGCTATACACTTATCTGTAGCTGTGGAATTGATTTTTATTGCAGTCTTCCTGAGAGTATTGTAGAAGCAATTATAAACACCATCTATCAAATTTCACCGGGGTATGTGGAAGCTCTCTGGGCCTGATTCTTTATTTACTCTCTTGTATAAATCAGGACTAACTCTGAAGTTAATGGAATTACCTTAGGGCAAAACCAGAGTAAAGGATTACGGAATCTGGCCCTCTATTTCTGGGAACTACAATCCAACTTGCCTGAGGAAAGACCAGTGTTTGTTTTGTGGGAGGTCACTAAGAATTAAAGAAGACGCTGGCAGGTTTTTGTGAAACTCTCTCGCACGGAGCCAGCAAATACATTGCCACAAGGCATATCAAAACTTATCATGCAGTTTGGCATCTTGTAAGAAAAAAAGATCTTGATGTAATCCCATTCTTAAAGGATTTTCAATGTCGTGACACCCATTAGGCGTGGTGACTCTGAAAGCAGGTAAGCTTTGGTTTCCCATTACAAAGCTCCTATACTTATAAGGGAATGAGATGAACAAGCTGGCTCCAGGTTTTGTGGGTTCCTTTGGAGGGTAAAACATGTGAAATACCAGCTGGCTCCCTCTCTACCTTTGACCACCCCTCTTTCTCTTTGACCACAGCCTCTTCCACCTCAGCAAACCTATGACAACTCTGGCTGCCTCTTGGTTTTCTGTGACATCTCAGCCTTTAGCCGCACTCCTCCAGCTCCAGCTGCCTGTGAGATACTGTTACTGCTGGTGACCCCCTTGCATTAACTTAAAAAAATGTCTTTGAGGAAGGAGGCAGCAAAGGAGGAAGAAAAGTAAGAACTTAAACTTGGAGAATGTGATGAGAGAACAACTTGAGAAAGAGAGAGTGGTATTAGTTGCACCAAGACTGGTGAGTCCTGTTTGTGTTTAGATGAGCTGATGAGACCTGTACCTTACCCAAATGTAGCTTACTCAGAGTCACTCAGCAATTCAGTAGCAAGGCTAAGAATAGCATCCAAATCTCAGGATCCCCCGCCTTGTGCTTTACCACCTGACAATCCTTCGTTTTCAAGCTTCCCGCTGTTTAAAATTACTAAATTGTAAGCTCTTTGGGACAGGGTCTGACTACCACTCTGTATCTGTAAAGTGCCTAGCACAATGAGGCCCCTTTCTTGGTTGGTCCTTGGGCATATTATAAACATGCATAGTATCTGGTGGAAACAGGAAGACCTACCTGGAAGCTCATATAGCCCGAGGAACAGAGCAAGCACCTCCTAGGTGACACCGCTGAATACTCTTCACTCTGATGAACATGCCAAGCTTCACCCCTGGTTCCTAGTGTGTGTCCTGTTTCTCATCACTAAAAAGAGTTTGATGGTCTCAATCCCTTCCATACCGGAAAACTGTTTCCACTTCAAAACAAAGCATGGTGAGTCTGAAAGGAGAGTCTCAAGTCTGACCTAAGACTAAATTACATCTGACCCTGAGACAGCAAGGCCCCTCCAGGTCAGGGGCAAGGGCGTTGTCAGGACATTGGGAATCTGTAATTAGCTAGCAAAGATATCAAATGCCTCTGTTTCCAGCATTCCTGTCCTTAAAGTGAAATGAGCACAAAAATAGCATTGTTCAAAAGACTGAACAAACTTCCTGATTTCACTCTGTTCTGCAGCAAACTACATCTGCACTCGTAAATCCACTGCCTCTTCTTATTGCTAGCCCCAGCCTCCAGAAATGGATTTGCCTGTCAGACTGCACAGCTTTTGGGACTCCATAATAACCAATCATCTTCACTGCAGTTTGTAGAAATAATTGTATTGTGTAAGGGAAATCTCCCATTTCAAGAATTCTCCTGACAAACTACTTTCCCCATTGACACCTTCCTCCACACACATAAAAAACAACCAATGGTCTAGCAGCACCTTAAAGACTAACATAACATGTAGAATAGATGGTGTCATGAGCTTTCATGGGCACAACCCACTTCTTCAGATGACTGGAGTATTAGAAATCCAGATCCAAGAATAAATAAGGGATCTGGACTTCTAATACTCCAGTCATCTGAAGAAGTGGGTTGTGCCCATAAAAGCTCATGATACCATCTACATGGTATGTCATACACCCTCATTCTCAGCTTGCTGGAGGGTAGGGTTGCCAACCCACAGAAATTTCATTTACGGACAAAATGGGAAACATTTATGGGCAGACGGTTTGGGCAAAGCGGCTGGGTGGACTTATCAGAAAGTGGTCTGTAATAGTTTTGGATGCATTCCATTGTCATCGTATGCCTTCAATCAAGAAAATGCTTCAGCATGACAAAACAGACTTGGCAATTATTCCTGGTGGAATGACCAAAATGTTGCAACCGCTTGATGTGATAGTTAACATGCCAATGAAAGATGCACTATGCAGGAAATGGAACACCTGGGTGTTGGAAGGTGAACATACATTTACTGCAGATGGACGTATGCGAACACTGACGCTGCAAGACGTGACCCAGTAGATAGCAGATGTCTGGCTTCAACTTGATCCCACTATCATAAGGAAGGGGTTTCTGAAATGCAGTATCTCTAATGCTATGGATGGCAGCGAGGATGATGCCCTGTGGATGGACCCGAGCGACGATGAATCGGCTGAGGGCGAATTATGCAAAGATTACAATGACTTGTATTACCTGGATGAAGATGTCGAGGGCTATACCCCGGAAGATATTGCTCAGCTGTTCGAGGATGATTCTAACAACAGCAAATTCGAGGGCTTCGAAGATGAGTAGAAGATCAGTTAACATACTTGCGTGTTTGAGCTATGGTGTTGATTTCCTTACTTTTACTTACTTTTTTGAAAGTGTATATGATTGCTTGTCTATGCTAATAAAATTCAACTTAACCTCCAGTGTCCAGTAATTAATTGACGCAGAACTGCCAAATGAAAACTTTAAAAAAATAACTCCTATAGATAATGCGCACCCAGTCATTGTACTCTGACTTTGATGATAAAAAAATCCGGAAAAAAAGTGCGGATTATACTCACGATTTTACAGTAATTTTTATACTATCTTAAGATGACCTAAATGGCCAAAAGTGAAAAGTAATCATTGTCATTCATACATCACAAGAACAATATGCTATTTAACTCACTTTCATTTAGTTAGTCATGGTCCTGGAAGTTTTCCATTTTGTGATTGTACATCTGTTACGTCACCTCAACCATTGAGCTAAATAAACAACTAAAACATCCAATTTCTACTGCTCCACAGTAAAATGGCTGAAGCAGCACAGAAGAAATTTAATTGCCATAGAATAATTGCTGTTTTTTGAAATTTTATTGCACTTTTACAAAATTTATGGACACCTAAATTTTTGTACGGACTTTACGGACATGTCCAATTTCGGCTAATTTTTTACAGACTGTCCATAAATTTACAGACAGTTGGCAACCCTGCTGGAGGGACCAGAAGGGTTTTCTTGGATTCACCCTGCATACATATTTAAATTACAGACAAAAACATAGACAATGTGAATATGTGTACTGTAAAAATATTTCTGTAGAATTTTTTTTTCTGGGAGACAGAATGGGTAGGCTCTATTTCTCTTTTCATTTTAGAAGAAACACTCTTCTTGCTGTGTGATTATGGGCAAATCACTTAAGACACGGTTTTTAAAAGCAACCACTGATTTTTCATGCCCAATGTAAGATACCCTAGACTTGACTTCCAGAGATATGGAGCACCTACACCTCCTATTGCAGTGTTTCTTAAACTTTTTAAGACCAAGGAACACCAAATAATTTTTTTATGGGGAACACCAACGATTTTTTGTTGAGCAAAAACAAACCAAAACAAAAAGGGTCGCAAGGAAAGTTATTGAGATAAAAAAGGGTCGGGGGAAAGTTACTGAAAAAAAAAAAAGTCACTTGCCCCTTTAAGGGCAGCCATTTTGAATGATGTTGTTCTCTGCAGTATACCGCCGACTGACACAGTTTAAGAGACACTGTTCTATTGGCTTCATGTGACGCTGTAGGTGTCTAGTGCATCTGCAATTCAGGCCCAAGGTCTCTCAAGCTGGGACTTAGGAAATCAATAGCAATTTTTGAAAAGCATGCACCTTTACTGCTTCAGGTTTTCCATCTGCTAAACATGCGTAATGATATAAACTCAGAGGGTGTCTGTGAGGCTTGACTCATATTTGCAAAGTATTGATGATCCTCAGATGGAAGGTGTTAAGAAAGGGCATAAAACATTAAATAACACATCAAAACCAATCACCCTAAACTAGAAAAATGTAAAAAGTATGGTTTAGCAGCACCTTAAAAACTAACAAAACATGTAGATGGTATCATGAGCTTTTATGTGCACAACCCACTTCTTCAGATGACTGGAGTATTAGAAGTC